ATAAATGCTTTGTACGTTTGGAGAACGTGAAGGGAGCCGTGTGGACAGTAGATGAGATTGAGTTTCACAGGAGGCGGCCCCAGAAAGCTGCTGGTAACGGGTATGTACACTTTAGACGTGACGGCCGTGCACTTTCAGATGTTACTAGAAGTCAGACGCTTGGCATCAAGGAACTTGACCTTGTAGCTTTACCTCACAAGTAAAGAGTATTTACTGTCAACAGGTCATGGAGTTTTAAAGGCTTGGGACTGTGCTATGATGAAAATGGAAAAAAACTGGGGGGTTAGAATTGTAGTTGTTAAATGATTAAATGCTAAAAAAAAATACCCAACAACAACAAAGGAGATCATCTAAATTGTGTTAAATGAAATATGAACAAAATGTTATTTTCCACAATGTTTCACTCAGACCCATGTGTTTGTGAGCAACAATAAATGGCCTGCTTTTTGCCGTTCACAAGATCTAAACTTGTACTTTTACATGAAATCAATAATAGTAAAAAAAAATCTGTAGTGTATCAAAACTGTTACGAGGCATGTTTCTGATTGCATCGTCTTGCAAAGATGACTCAAACTCTTAGCTATTGTGGACTTTGCTAAGTAAACAGACCTGGAGCGCCATTGTATATTTTGGCAGTACTCGTAGTTCCTTCAGATCGAGGGAAATGTAACTTAACACTATCACCCTTAGTTACTGTTGCTATTTCAGTTAAAAATGTGCGTTTAAGATGAGCTTGCATTTCTGAATCCCTCTTAAGTCAGTCATATAGTTTTAGACCATTTAAGTATTCATACTCAAATGTAATAATGTGCTCTTGTATTTATATGCTAATAGATCTCTGCTGAAGAACGCCCAGAACCGTACAGGCCTAGCTGGATCTGCCCTTCAGGTAACAGAGAAATGTTAATTATCTTGTTGTTTGTGTGTATTGTATTACAAACAAAAAGATGTTTGATGAATGAATTATCCTAACATAGTATATGTGTTTAAGCAGTGCTATAAATACACCTCTGACAGTATTTCTTTTTTCAGGGTGGTGGTCTAGAATGCAACTCTCTATACAACCCAGCTTCTATGGGCAGCATCCCATTGCACTCCTTGCCTCATGTTCTCCAGGAGCAGATGAATGGAGCTCTCGCTAATGGATCTGGATACCAAAGCGACAGCAGTGCAACACAGTCCCCACCACAGGCTTTGTAAGTGTCCCTATTCACTGAACTCTTCAGTGCATTTGAATTACCTACTATTTAAAGTCTGATCACATTTTCGTTCTCCGTGTTTACCAAACCAGCATTAAAGAAGAGCAGGAGGATGAGGAGATAAGCGAAAATTATCCCTATGAATCTCCGGAGAGCACAGACGAGCACGGCCACAGCCCAGAGATGAACAGAGATGATGACAACGGTAGCCCGGAGAGGCCCAGCCTTCATCTCGACCGTGTGCCTTCCCTCTGACTTTGAAGTCCAACTTCTCAATGGCAAGGCTGCCAGTGTGACTTTGTATTAAAAAAACAAACAAAAAAAACAACAACTTCAGCTTCATCTACGTAACCAAACACTCTGTTCTTTGGAATCTTTTTCCGTTATTTTTTTCTTTCTGTATTTATCAGCGTCTCTTTATTTTTTTTGTTTTTAATCTAGCTCTCAAATGTTTTTTGTATAGTTAAGTGAGATCACAAACAACATTTGTGAAACTGTCTGTCTGTGATTCTTCTTCTTAATCTTCTTCTTTTAAAAAAAAAAAAAAAATACATATATATATCTGTACAGAAAAGGACCATAATGAGCAGAGAAGCCAAAGGCAAGGGAAAAGTGATGAGCCCCTTTCAGACATGGGATAAAAAAAAATGCTGGCTTTATCAGTCATTCATATCTGGATTACTTTCATGTGTTAATCATCTTCATGGCTTCACACATACAGTACCTGACGGTGACTTGAGAGAGCGTGTGTGTGCAATATTCGCTAATATTCAATATGCGTTGGTGGCAGTATTATTATTGGCTCAAGTGAAGTGCAAACACACCTATGGAATGTTTAGTTCTCTTTACTCATTACAAGCACTGTGTGTGTGTGTGTGTGTGTGTGTGTGTGTGTGTGTGTGTGTGTGTGTAGTATTCATTCCACCTCATTTCATTTCTGTCATCCTGTATTC